TTAGTGGTGGGTGGGGGGATTTGTAGGACAGCCTATATTCTCTGAGGAGAAAGCAGTCTGTTTCCTTTAGTGAGCTGGTAGCCTAAGTATGTGGCCTTAGTTACACATAATTGGGCCTTCTTGGCTGAGACCCAGTAACCTAGTTGTTCAAACAACTTCAAAAGATCTCGGGTAGCTTTTTGACACATGTCTGTGTCTTTTGCTGCAATCAACAGGTCATCTACATACTGTAGTAGAGTCACCTCCAGGTGGGTGGCTCGAAACGGGAACAAGTCTCTGTTCAGGGCTTCATCAAAGAGAGTTGGGGAGTTCTTACAACCCTGTGGTAATCTAGCCCAAGTCAATTGACCAGAGTGGCCACCATCTGGGTCCACCCATTCAAAAGCAAATAAGGGCTGGCTTACCTTGGCCAGCAGGATACTGAAGATGGCATCCTTGAGATCTGGAATGGTGTAGATCTGTCTCTCTGGGAGAATTAGGCTCAGCAACGTGTAAGGATTTGGGACCACGGGGTGAATGGTTTCCACCCTCTTGTTGACTTCTCTCAAGTCCTAGACTGGTCAGAAGTCATCTGTGCCTGGTTTCTGGACTGGAAGGAGAGGAGTGTTCCAGGGGGACTTACATGGCATGAGGATTCCAGCAGCCAGAAGCCTCTCGATGTGAATCCAGATTTTCTCTTTGGCCTTTCATCTGATTGGATATTGTTTTACCATAATTGGAGTCAGAGTAGCATGTAGAGTGACCACTACTGGGGGTTGATGGGCAGCCAGTCCTTGGGGGTTAGTATCTGCCCATACTCTAGGACACAAGGTGGTCAATTCCTGAAGAAATTGAGAGTCTGGGGTTTTTGAGTCCATAGGTGTGATATCAGGGAGCAACAGATATTCCTCTGATAGGGGGCAAGTAACAAGAATTTTGGCAGGCTTGTTACCAATTGAAAGACTAGCATACTGGCCCTCAAAGGATATTGTAGCTCTTAAATTTTGAGTAAGTCCCTTCCCAGCAATGGGTATAGGCAATCTGGGATCCCAAGAAACCAGTGTGTCACCCTGTGGTGCCCAAGGTCCACTGTCCTTTCTGTAGTCCAAGGGAAGCCTGTAGTAGCAGTCCCAGTGGCTCCCTGAACAAAATATTTTTTTGGTCATTGGCCCTAGTGGTTGGGTCAGAACCAAATGTGCTGCTCCTGTATTGACCAGGAAATTTATAATTTTGCCCCCTACTTTGGCTTTTACCCTGGGCTCCTGGGGGCTTAATAGATAAGAGCCCTGTCCCCTCTAGTCCTCTTCTTCCTGTATCACCAAAACCTCTGGTTTGTCCTTCTTGGAGGGGGCTCCTTTCTCCCCATAGGGACACTCATTTTTCCAATGTCCAGTCCTCTTGCATCTAGCACATTGGTTCTTCCCCAAGTGGGGACAGCGTGAGTCCCTGAGGGGCTGCCCCTTCCTTCTGTTCAGAGGAACTGTCTCTTGTGCCTGGAGTGCAGCAGTAGTGACTTTCCCCAGTTTCTTGGCTAGGACTTCCTTGGGGGTGTCACAGTTATCATAAACTTTCTGGGCTATGCTCAGGAGTTCAGTCCTATTCTTTTCCTCAAATCCCTCCAATTTTTGTAATTTTTTTCTAATGTCTAGGGCCAACTGGGAAATAAAGGCCAAATTTAAAGCTGCTGCATTTGCGGGAGGCTCTGGGTCAATAGGAGTCCTCCATGAGTCTCTCTAAAAATGCAGCTGGAGACTCCATTTTTGCCTGTCAACCCTCACTTACTTTACTCAAATTAGTGGGCTTTCTGGTAGCTGCCCAGAGTCCCCCTAATAAGTGCTAGCAGTAGGTTCCGAGCCTTCTCCTACCATCATCATTATTGGGATCCCATTCAGGGTGCTGCGATGGAACCACTGTTTTAGCCCTAGCCGAATACTCTGGAGTTCCAGGAGTGACGCTCAGGTTTGGCCCCAGGGCCTCTTTAACTGCCTGTTGATAAATGTGGTCCCACTCCTCAGTGGTGAACAGGATCTGTAAAAGCTGCTGGCAGTCATCCCAATTTGGCCGATGAGTATGGAAAACAGATTCAAGAAGAGAGATTAATGCCTGAGGTTTTTCAGAGAAGGGGGGATTTTGATGTTTCCAATTGTAAAGATCACTAGTTGCAAAAAAGACATAAATCAATCCTCTCCCAGGCTCTGTTTGTTTTAAAGGAAAAAGGGAGGAGGAAGACGGGGCTGATGGACCATAGTCCTGTCCGATCAAGTATGGGGAGGTGAGCGGACCTGGTCC